ACTTAGCATGTTTCTTAAATATCTGCAAACATATTATGGTATTTTTATGCTTTAGTAGAGTCAAAAAAACTTACATACAGCACCTTTAAGTAAAAAATGACTAAAAATTGAACTAAAACTAAAATGAAACCTGAAAATTTAAAAATAAAAGCTGATAATAAATAAATAAATAAATGCTACAATGGCATATAAATAATACTAAAATTACATTGCTGGGCATTTTCTTGCTGTCCTAATTCAAAAGTGTCCACCCTCATGTCCGATCAAATCAATTTCACTAATAGTAATTTCTTCACACATTACTTCATACCAGATCTCCCCAGAGCCCTGGCCACTTTCACATGCTGGCAACGCTACAAGCACTTCTAGCTGTTATTAAACAGAGATTATTATCTCGGCAGGGTTTCAAAGGTCACATCCTCACCTTCATTAAAACCTGCTTTGCTCTCAGGGGGAAGTGCCACACCGGCATCACATAAACCAGGATCATGCCCTCTCTCAGATCGAGAAAAATATAATCCCAGGTAATTGCACATTTGACCTTACCTCATCTTTCTGTCTTTGCTTTCTCCAGGGGAGCGTTCTCAGAGGTCTTCATGGTGAAGGAGAGAAAAACAGGGAAGCTTTTTGCACTGAAGTGTGTGAAGAAGAAAAACAAAAAGGACGTCAACCTGGAGAACGAAATCGCTGTGTTGAGAAAGTAAGACTGAATTAAACCAAGCTGTGATGTAAAAATCTTAAAGGAGTAGACAATGTGAAGTTGCTGAAAGTTTACGCACCCTCAGACGATCTGAGATATAGATGAGTTTGTTTCTTTATCAGAACAGATTGGGAGAAATTTACCCTTACATCACTTGCTCGCCCTCTGGAGTGAATGGGTGCCGTCAGAATGAGAGTCCAAACTACGGTGGCCGAGAGAGCTCAACGCGCTGCAACTTAAGAAAACACATGCAAATTGAAAAAACACCAGCAAATTAAGAAAACATCTTCATCAGTTTGACAACACACGCGCTGCAAATCCTCACAACACATGCAAACGAAGAAACGCGCTGCAAATCCTCACAACACATGCAAACGAAGAAACGCGCTGCAAATCCTCACAACACATGCAAACGAAGAAACGCGCTGCAAATCCTCACAACACATGCAAACGAAGAAACGCGCTGCAAATCCTCACAACACATGCAAACGAAGAAACGCGCTGCAAATCCTCACAACACATGCAAACGAAGAAACGCGCTGCAAATCCTCACAACACATGCAAACGAAGAAACGCGCTGCAAATCCTCACAACACATGCAAACGAAGAAACGCGCTGCAAATCCTCACAACACATGCAAACGAAGAAACGCGCTGCAAATCCTCACAACACATGCAAACGAAGAAACGCGCTGCAAATCCTCACAACACATGCAAACGAAGAAACGCGCTGCAAATCCTCACAACACATGCAAACGAAGAAACGCGCTGCAAATCCTCACAACACATGCAAACGAAGAAACGCGCTGCAAATCCTCACAACACATGCAAACGAAGAAACGCGCTGCAAATCCTCACAACACATGCAAACGAAGAAACGCGCTGCAAATCCTCACAACACATGCAAACGAAGAAACGCGCTGCAAATCCTCACAACACATGCAAACGAAGAAACGCGCTGCAAATCCTCACAACACATGCAAACGAAGAAACGCGCTGCAAATCCTCACAACACATGCAAACGAAGAAACGCGCTGCAAATCCTCACAACACATGCAAACGAAGAAACGCGCTGCAAATCCTCACAACACATGCAAACGAAGAAACGCGCTGCAAATCCTCACAGCACATGCAA